GCATGGACCCCACCCCCACAGACCCTAGGTATGTGGTATATGCTAGCTAATGTTGAGAGGTGTCTCTGATTTCACTGGGACTGGCAGGCAGAACAGTGACTGCTTAGGGCTGTTTGGAGTTAATCAACAGGTCAGCTGGAAAGCTGTTTAAGAAGAGTTTGAAGTAATGGGGAGAGGCTATTGTTTTGCTGATCAAGTGATTAAACACAGCCATTGGCCCCCTGCTGGCTTGCTTACCTGTCAGTTTGCTTCAGACAGTATAAAGAAGCAAGGAGGGAGACTGAAAACCTCTGTATCATCAACAGATACATGCACTGCACTTCCCTTCCCCTCCCTCCTACCTCCCCTCCATGTTGCGTCAGAGTGCTAGCAACAGGGTGAGGTCTGGCAACACTCCTGCCTCTTGAGCAGCCAGCAGAGAAAAGCCTGGGATGGAGCAGGCAGACCTCCCTAATCAGAGGTCCTGCCAGGGCTTGGCCATGCCCCCCCTCAGGTCAGTGCAGTGCAAAGGAAGGGAGGGCTCCTCTAGCACCCCCTGGCTTCTACCCTGAGCCACTGCAGGCATGTCTAAATTCAGCTGGCAGGTGCAGTTGGGCCTAAGTAGGTGGTCACATGACCACACGAGGGCCCCTGGATTGCAGGGCTGGGCAGCCACAGTATAAGCCCTAAAAGCTGAGCTGGCAATTGCTGCAGGGAGCTGAAGAATTAACATCACCCAGCTGGAGATCTGCTGCTCCCAGAACACCTGGAGGTTAAGTGTAGGAATTATGGGGATGGAGGAGGTTCCTGGTCCTGGGAAATGACCTAAAAGTATACCCTGCAGAGGTTGGATGGTGTGATGGGGCTGCCTGTGCCAGGGCTGTCTCCAGGAAATGCCACACCTGTGCCTCCTCAGTGAAAGATGAGGATGGTGTGCCGTTTAGCCTCAACCCCCATGACCTGGTGGGTAACCCTGTAGAGGGGACAGGTTGGGGGTCCCAGCACGTCATCAGATACCTGAGGCCCAAGGGTTGCCAAGAGGTGGAGTAAAGGCTCCAAAGAGCGGGTTACAGTAGTGACTCAGTGAGGGGCAGAGAATGAGCAAGCCCAGTGAGTGTGGAACAGTGGGCCCAGGAGGGGTCCAGAGTAACTATTTGGTCTATGAGCTCAGAGAATGAAAATAGTATGTGTGGGGGCACCTGAGAAGGCAGACCCATATGAGAGAGAGGGCTAGCTGCTTGAGAGCATACCCAGAGAACCTCAACTGGCCCATGCTGGGGCCAAGACCATGAGGGTCAAAGGGCAAGAATGCCCACCATGAGGGATGGCCAGAGCCAGGGGCCTGGAGTCATGACTGACCTAGAGGCAAAGCGAGAGCCTGCAAGTCCAAACCTCCTGGAGGAGGCTACTGCCAAGAGGGAAAGGGGTCTAGGGAGATTGCGGCCCAGGATGGTAGTGGAGGTTAGGCCTCCTGGAGGGATTCAGGTTGGTGTCCGAATGTCAGTAAGGAATATATTAGGGCCTAACGTGGCGCCGGAACCATATAGTGATGCCATCTGTAAGACATGGGGCATGGTAAAGGGGAGGTCAGAGCCATGCTTTATGCCCTTAGCATCAGGGCATAAAATGGGCAGCCTCCCACCTAGAAACAACTATTTAATTACAACAAAAGCATGGTAGTTGAGGCAAGTGGGTGGGCCAACAGTTGAACCAGCCTTGAGATGGTCCCCTGTCACACTCAGCAAGGGCATGTATCTGTTAGGGCGATGACCCTTAGCCTTACTTCAACCAAGAAATAACCACAAGGCAATGGGAGTGGGGTTTCGAGGTGCCCTGTACTCGCCTTACTATGGAGATTGCAACATTATGGTATTTTATAGAAGCTACTCTGCCTGGATAATTTTATTAGCATAATAAACTATTTAATATAGACCTAGCCATTAGGGCTGTGTGAAGCTTTGGTTGCTGATTTGATTTGGAGGAGATTCAGCCCAATTCGGCAGTCAAATTCCCAAATCCAAATTGAATTGGGAGACCAAAAAAAAGGTCTGAATTGATTGGAATCCTCTGAATCAGTTTGGAAAAGATTTGGAGAGATTCAGAGATTTAGGCAGTCCCCACTCACTGCTGCAGGGAGCTAGACCCAGACTCCATGCTGGTAAATAGGTGGCAGGGGACCATGGGGGGACCTCCACCAGGCCCCATCAATGGCTGCCCTGCCTGGCCCCAGTGTCCTAGCACTTAAAAAAACAAAAAAAAACAAACAAACCCTGCATGCACTGGCTGCTGCAGCCACTGCCAGGGCCTCTGGAGGCTTGTGGCAGTACAGGGCAGCAGGGATCACGCCCCACCTGGCAGGAGCTAGTGAGTATGGGGCTTTTTTCTTTTTCTTTTTTTTTTTTAATGTGCCAGGATGCTGGGGCTGGGCAGGACAGCCATTGTCGGGGCTGGGAGAGCAGGCGGGGGATAGGACCTGTTCAATTCAGAGATTCAGCCAGTTCAGCGGCTGGTAAATCTCTGAATCGGATTCAGCTGAATCAATTCAGGACAGTGATTTCAAATCACTGAATTTAATCACTGTCCCCCCCCCACATAAGCTGAAACTGAATGTGAAGCGAATACAAACCACTTCACACAGGCCTAACAGTCATCCTGCCAAAGAGCCAGGAATCCTTAAAATCCAAACCCAGCCATCATCAATCAGAAATCACCCCATTACTGGGTGCATCTACAAATTCATTAATGTGTCATAATTATGGCACATTAATTTTAGTACCTGTAATAACAGGTACTAAACTTAATGTGCTGTAATCAGCACTACTGAGCATTAGTGCATATGAAAACTTTTTGTGTGATGCTTAATGCCCACTGGGGGCATTAGCACATTAGCATTATTTTTGCCAGCTGTGCTAATGCACAGTAAAACTAGTCCAATGGGCTTTAAGCGTCTCATGTAGACATGCCCACTGTAACCAAGGAAGAGATTGGCTTGAATAGAAATAGTTAACCTTAAAGACACACTTGAAGATCAGTTCACTTGGATTGCCAAATATCTGGGTTGGTTTGTTTGTTTGTTTGGTCAACATCACTGACACCAGTTTCTCAAATGCACATTACACCTGAAAAGAGCACCCCCACCCCTGGCCCCAGTATGACTGTTTCTAAACTGTAGCTAGATTTTTTTTTTTCCACATTCTTCTCTGGCACCCCTATACTAAGAGAACTGGAGAAGAATTGACATAGGAATACTAGAGTCCTAAGTACTATGTAACAGCCCAACCCCTCCCTTCAAAATTAGTGCAATTCCAGGCAAGAGCAAAAGGGAAGTTACAAGTTTCAGATCTTGCCTAGTTATTGTCCAGCCATCATGACATTTGGTAATTAACCCATTATTGCTGATGACATCAGTGACAGTCACTAACAAGTGAAGTCTATTCAAATTCTTTGGAGTTCATTAATGCAACTATTTAAATTAAAAATAAAGGTGATCTTTGGATAGCCTTAAGTTCTCTGCTACTCCACAGCTGGTGCAGCATGTAAGGCTGCAGGAGTCCCAGTGGCTCTTTTGGTCATCCTGCCTTGAATCTCTGGGCTGAGATGGCTGTTCAGTTTCTGTAGCTCACTCAACCCTCAGCTTCATTGTTAAGTCTGTCATCAGGAACACATGGATTTGTGGATTTCCTCTTATAGGGTTTCCTGTTTATCAGGCAAAGGTATGAGACCACCAACTCCTTTCCCATGGGCTTTCAAAGCATCCGTCAGAAACTACCCAAAACACATCCCTTAGTGATACATGATGTTTTTCAAGGCATCACTTTCGGTCATCTTCAAGTTTATGGTCCACTAGAACATCCAGAACTTTTACAGATGCACTGTTGCTTCACCAGAGATCCCACATTTTATGTTTGTGTTTTCCTCACTTAAGTGTGGAATTCTGCCTTTGAACATGAACATATATGCACATGGTCTAAGATGGAGAAATGGTCCAAAATAAACAGGGTGAAATTCAAAGAAGACCAAGGCAAGTATGGTAACTAAGAGAAGGGGCAACCACCTATACCACAAGGGGCTTTTGCCCTCTTTTCATTTGTTTGTTCCTGAGGGTCCTGCTTCTGCTCTTCTGAGCACTGAAGTGGAATCTAAAAGTCACAGGTCACAGCTTTCCAACTTCCCCTTGCTGCTCCCTCTGTTTGCTCAATTCAGCATAATTTGGGTGACTATATCATCACTTCCCTAGGAGGATGTGATCCTCCTTTTTTCTTTGAAAAGCAAATCCCACCCAACAGCTACTGTATAAAAGCAGAAGAAGAGATGGGAGTCAGCACCCAACTGCCCAGAAGGCCCACTGATTTTTGCCTTGCTTCTGCAGCTCCTCCCCACCCAGCAGAAACATGAAGGTCACTGTGGCTGCCCTTGCCACTCTTCTCCTCGCTGCCTGCTGCTCCCAAATCCAGGCTCAACTTGGTGAGTTCTGTCTTTCTCTTCTATGCATATATCAGAGTGCTCACTCTCTAAAGCTATGGCTCAGGGTTCTTTTCAGTGAGCTTAAGGTGCAGGAGGGGAGAGCCCCTCTTCTGTCATTTCTGCTCACAGCCTCCCAGTGCAGTTGTTGAGGGTGAAGTATGAGAATGGGATGTAACCCCCCAAAACTGCTGCATATGACCTTTGTGACTGAAATCTCTCAGAAATCATGGAAGGTCTCTAAGTGGTACTGATGCAGGTGGGACTGGCTGGTAGCTGACCCCAACATGATACCAGGAAGGGGTGTTCTAATCCTCTAAACCACCTTCAGTCATGAAGTGGAGGGAAAAATCACCAGATTGTCTTCTTTCCTCCCCTTCCAGACGGAGTCACCACTCCAACCTCCTGCTGCTTCACTTATACCAAAAAGATCCCACGGGCCCTTGTGGCTTCCTACAAGGCCACCAGTAGCAAGTGCTCCCAGCCAGCTGTGATGTGAGTATGCTTTTTCAGAGGAATGTTGTACAATCATGCAGAGAAACATCCATAGGATGAGCATATGAATAACCTGTAATACAGACAGCATCTGTATTTTTACCCTTCTAATGGAATAAGCTAAAATTCAGCCATTCAAAGCTGCTCCAGATTTCCCTGTGACCCTTGCTATTTCATTAATACCCATCCTGGGCAGCTGCAGATACCTTTGGCTGTGCTGATGTTCTGAAGTGCCTTGCTTGAGGGCTCACTCTTCAGTTCTTACATCCACACCCACCATGGGCTGACATTGCCTTCAGTCTTTGAGGCTATTAGAGTACTTGTGAAAGAACAGTGCTGGGTCAGGAAGAAGTCTTCAGCAGTTCTCCTGAAGCCAGGAAGAGGTTAGGAAAGAAAACAAGGATGTCTTGACATGTCTGCTAGGGACACGTTGTGGGGCAGATCTACAGATGGTGTCACCTGGCATTGCTACACCTACTGGGGATCCAACCCAAGAGCTCCATATTGTGCCATTACAAGTGAGAACAACCAACCATGAGAAAGGTATAGAATGAGGAAGGGGAGAGGCTGCAACAATTAAATGACAGTCTCATGCCCTAAGTAAGCAGGAA